AAGAGCATCTTGCAATGGGGCATGGTCATGCCATAATCCCTTCTCTTTCATTTTTTCATCCTGTTAGGATTATGGGCATATGAAGGCACATGTGTCCAGTGTGTTTTTTAAGCCACTGAAGCTAGAATTGGACCACAGTCAGTCATGTGGGATTCAGGTCCCTTAGCCACTAGACTGCTGGGCCACCCTGTGAGTGCTCTTTTTATACACTGCATGCCTCTTGCACAACTGGTTAACCTACATGCAAGTCTACTTATGGGGCACTTTTGCTTTATAACAGATAGTGTTAAAGATAAAGTTGAATGGGTTATTTAGGAATGTAGAGCTCCAGGTACAAATAATTGCTTTTATTTCTTCTGACCTTGTCTCAAGGTAAAGAATGCTAGCCAAGGTGATAAAACCTTTAGTTTGAGTCCCAGATTTCCCACAGACTGTGTGTTGTGAGATCTTGGGTTCCTAATGCGGTCTTTGTTGTATTAGAAGATTGAAATGGAAACAAACCAACAAAAAGACTGAAAAATACTTTGCAGTTTGACTATTGAGTAGTCATCCCAACTGTTTCCCTTTGGGATAACTACTCAAATGCAATGTGTGTTTTCAGTGTTTCTTCCTCATTGTCAGGACATCATTCTTATCACCCTCAGGACTAAATTAATCACTGAGTGGACAAACTCCTACCTTGGAGTCTGTCTATGCCCTCGACAGTACTTTATCACTGAGTCCCAAATAAGCTCTGGCCAAAGGTTCAGGCCTGTTCAGTGATCTTCGCTTCCTACTCTTCTTCATAACACAGGCATATCCAAGAGCTGATGGTTCTAGAACATAGATTCTCACCTCTTTGCCTTTGTATTTGCTGCACCCTCTTCCTAGGTCCACAGACGCCTTCTTTTTTTTTTTTTTTGGAGAAGTTTTTGCTATAGGGGGGTGCGTGCGCTCGCCAGACAGACAGAGAGAGAGACATAGAGACAGAAAGCGAGAAATCACCTCCCAGGAGGGATGGTCACGCCGCAATCCCTTCTCCTCCATTCT